AAAAGAGAAAACATTGAAATATAAAGACAAGGAGATTGTGGTCTTGAAACAAATACCTAGAAGAGTGAGAGAGATGAGAAGAGAATACCGATTCCTGACTAAAATGCTACTTTAAAAAGAGGTGAATTATAGATGGGTGATTCCAGAAGGTTTATTGTTCACATGGCAAGAACAGAGACATAGAATTGACTCAATTGAGAAAGCGGAATTATTTTATACAGAATTTTTTGGAGGGAAAGAGGAAGAAGCAGAAAAAGAAATCTCACTAATTGAATTCCAAGAGGACTGCCAAATGGCGATTGAAAAAGAAGAAGGTGCAGTAGGTGGAAAGGTGGAAGCCAAAGAACAACATGAACCAAGATCTACGAGAGCTGCTAAACCTAACTACAAAATATAACCATGGAAGAGAAAAAACTGATTACAATTAATATAAATGGACTTAACTCAGCCGTTAAAAGAAGGAAAACCTTTCATAAATTAGAGAAATTAAAATTTGATATAATTTGTCTACAAGAAGTACATACTAAAAAACAATATGAACAATTGTTGATACAGCCAAAACTAGGGAAAATATTTACTTCCTTGACACAATGTAAGAAAAGAGGAGTGGTTTTATATATTAAAGAGACCATCCCAGCAAAATTAATTTATACCAATGATGACGGAAGAATACTAATGGTGGAAATAATGGACAATAATACAAAAACACTCCTGATTGCAATCTATGCCCCAAATGACAAACAAGAAGAATTCTACAAAAAATTACATATTAAAATAATTGAACTGGACTATGCTAATATAGTTATCATGGGAGATTTTAATGGAATTTTAGACAATAAATTGGACTAATAACTAATTGAATTAATAACTATAATAACTATAATAATTAATAACTGATTGAATTAATAACTAATATTCAAGAAATAAATATTGAAACAGTACTTGGGCAGATCACAATCCAATGACAATTAAATGGAAAGGACAAAAAAGAAGATCTAGATGGACGTTAAATAATACTATTTTAAAGGAAAAAGACTTCACACAGTGGATGGAGAAAGAAATGGCTTTTTTCTTTAGAGAAAACAATAAAGAAGTTACATCAATTCAGAATGTATGGGATACAATGAAGGCATATGTTAGAGGCTTGATAATACAAGGAAAAGAAATACTATGAAAAGAACACAATTTAATTTCTTATCCATCAATGCTTAAATGTTTTATTCATCCTAACACTCCTCAAGGAGTTTGGTTCTTCTGTGAACATTTAAAAATATATAACTTATACCTAATCAGGAAATGGCAAACTAATTTGGGAGTGCATTTAAGGTAAGAACAAAGAATGGTGTCTGTTTTGGCTCTTTGGGGGTCTAATATGTTTACTTCCAGTAATCCACAAGGCATGTTATACCATTAACCAGATGCTATGCTGCAGGGGGTATAAGCTGTTGGTTAGGCAAGAACTATAAATGAATCAAAAACAAACAGAAGTATTGCCTCAGTGTGATGAAACACAGGGAGACAGGAAAATTAGTAAACAGTGTAGCCTTCTACATTTACAAAGAAAAAAATCCCATGTGGTTTTGCTTTAGTTAAGCCATTAGGTTAGCATTTTCCATACACATTTTGAATTTTTGAAGAGTGTTGTCTTTTTGAAGCCTTTCCTGGGACATGTGTCTTATTTGACCTTAGATACACAATATTTTTCTTTAAACCATTCTCTGTTTTGAGTTTACTACAGCTTAAAGGAGGCCAAAATACTATAAAAGGATATCATGGTAACATTTCATTTAGGTAAAAAAAAACATCATGGCTCGCTGTCAGACTGCTCAGCCAATTGGAATGGACTTCAATTCCTGCTCAGCTCAGCCGAACGTAACACAAACTTCTTCTCATCTCACTCCCATAGCCAAGGTCAGCTCCTTTGGGAGTTTTTTTATTCCATTATGGAAGTAGTGCTTCCCAGCTTCTCCCAACACAAAGCTTGTCAGGCTTAAGGCCTGCATGGCTTCAGTGACAACTGTCACAGAGATTAGAATCTTTCTAATAGCCACTGACCAAGATTGGTTGCTGTGGCATTGTGTGCTTCTCTTCAGTTTCTGCCGTCTTCCCTCCATGGCCATTTTGCTCCTGAACTGGCATGGAGCCAGGAGAGAAGAAGTCCTTACATTTCTAGAGAAACCTTTCAAAATTCTTTCTCTAGTAATCTTGACATTGCTATTGCTAAACCAGGTAGAACATTGTGAGAGAAAGAGCAGGATCTCTGTAAAGCGAAATCTAAAGATCTGCCAGTGGTGGGATTCAAATCTTTTTTACCACCGGTTCGGTGGGTGTGGCTTGGTGGGCACACTTTACACACATGCACACACTTCGTGTGCATGCACGCACTTTGCATGTGTGCGTGCACCAAACGAGCACTTTGCACAGGCGCAGAGGCGTTCTAACTCACCTCCTGCAAGCCTGCACGATCCCAATTGCTTCAGCAGCTGCTGTGCAGAACTCTTCTGTGACGTGCAAAGTAGCTGCACTTTAAATTCAGAGGATAAAGGTGAGTATGGGAGCCCAGGTGGGCCCAACAGCAGAGTGGCGGAGAAAACCAGCTCAGTCTCCGCTGCTCATCACTGCTACCGGCTCGGCCAAACCGGGCCGAACCGGTAGAATACCACCACTGGCTCCTGCCCATCTAGCCATCTGCCTAAACCAAATTCTCCCCAGCACCAGGCCATAGTAAGGGAGTGATTGTTGGATTAGGATCTGAGTGGCATGGTGAGAAGAAGCTTGCCTCCCATTCAGAAGGCTGATAGTTAGTTCAATCCTAAGTAGCGGCAGATGTTTCTCTCTCCTTGGGCGCAAAGAAAAAATATCTGCTGTGAACTCCACATGGCATCAGGAAGGGCATCCAGCCAGTTAATGCTCAGCTCCACCCACTTGCTCCAGTTCTATCCTGAATTAAGGAATTACAGGGTCATAAAAGGGAGTTTTTATTATTGGATTAGGATCATCTGGGAAATGCACCAATTGCTATACTTTAACTTGACTCAATCAACTTTCATGTTAGTACCAATCACCGGTCTCATTACTAAGGCAGAGTTATAAGGTCAGAACATATTATGCTGGCATAATTTCTACCACTGTGTGGGAAAACCATGTTAAACCAGCTATCTGGATGTGCCCTTTGATCCTTTGAAGTTTCTCTTCCTACTGACCTCTGGGTTTACTAATGTGACAATTTTAGCAATAGTGCTTACACTTATATACTACTTCACAGTGCTTTACAGCCCTCTCTAATCAGTTTACAGAGTCAGCATATTGCCCCCAACAATCTGGGTCCTCATTTTATTGACCTCGGAAGGATGGAAGGCTGAGCCAACCTTGGGCTGCTCAGAATTGAACTCCTGGAGTGAGCAGTGAGTTAGACTTGCAATGCTGCCTTCTAACCATTGCGCCAGCACAGCTCCTATACTTTAAGTGGTTTCTGTCAAGTTTAGTGTTACGAAATTGTCCAAAGCTGTTTCTATGAACATATGCCATTGGAAATTACATATGTTTGATTCACTATTATACTCTTCTAAATCAGTTAATAATTATTCTGTTACTACGTGAGGAACTCTGTCCTCCCTCCCATTTAAAAAAAAAGCCCATTCAGGGGTTTCTTTCATTAGCATCTTGGTACCTTTCAGAATGCTGAATCATCAGCACCTCCCAATTAGAAATAAATTGTCATCCATTGTGTGATTTTTGAGACACATTATGTTAAATTACTCAATAGAGGAAACACTATACTCTTGTGGTTCATGATGAATTCAAGATGAGTAACAGCTGCTGGTGAGAAAAATTAAAAGTGTGATTTCCCCATCGTGTACCCAAGGATGCATCTGAATAGTGGAAGTTTATAGTATCAAAATATACATAACACATTTTACTGCCTCTGTCTCATTCACTCTTTCCTTCCCTTGCTTGTTGGCTGGATAGTGAAAGTTACCCGGTTTCCCTCACGTAAATATAAAATAGGAATTTATCCATGAATAAGTTAGCAATAATCACACAAAAAAGATGTTGAAACTTTGGAAAAAGTGCAAAGAAGAGCAAACATATGAAGAACAGTTGCAGGAACTTGAAATGCTAGTCTAGAGAAAAGAAGGACTAGGGGTGACATGATGGCAGTATTCCAGTATTTGAGGGGCTGCCACAAAGAAGCAGCTTATTTTCCAAAGCCCCTGGGCAGGGCAGGACAAGAAACAATGGATGGAAACTAATCAAGGAGAGAAGCAATCTGGAATTAAGGAGAAACTTCCTACCAGTGAGGACAATTAACCAGGGGAAAAGCTTGCCTTCAGAAGTTCTAGGTCTTAAACACTGAACATTTTTAAGAAGATACTGGACAGCCACTTGTCTGAAATGGTAGGCTCTCCTGCTTGAGCAGGGGTTGGACTAGAAGACCTCCCAAGGTCCCTTCCAGCTCTATTCTGATTGAAGGGTTAAAGGTGTTTTAAATATCTGTGTGGTTACACTTCACATGCTGTATGTCATGACTTTCTAAAATCAATCTGCGGAAAGAGACATAATTGGTGAGATCACACTACACACGGTGGTATAACCCACAATGCCTAACCTCGGGTAACAATGAAAAGAATTGCACTAAGACTGAGAGTAATATCTTAAATTAGTCACAGTTTGGGTAGGGGTTGCAATACTGTATAGGTAAAAAGCGCTGTTTTAGAAACTGAAAGATGTTTAAAGGTAGTCAGGGAGAATTAGAAAGTTGTTTTTGCTAGTTCGGTGCTATAAAGTTTTATATAATCAAGATTTTAAGTCTACTTGCCCTGGGACACCTTCTCCTGGTTTGTGTGCTTGTTGTTGCTAATCAGAACATGACGAAATGTTGAGTCAGTCCACAGCTGGCTTTATGAAACATAAAGCACAAAAATCTGAAAGCCAGATGAACTGCGATAGCAGAAACAGAAACTTTTGCAACTGTTTAAACAAGGAAACCCAATTTTAAGATGAAACCTATTTTGCTTTTATTTGGGTGCATTGCACTTTCTTATGGACTCCCCACCCTTTCCGAGAAGGGAAGTGAAGAACAAAATGAACAGCTTGCGCAGGTAACAATGCCACGGGGCTCTGAGAAACTTGGAATCAGTGGTACCTTAGGTTGAAAGGTGGGGTTCTTAATATTTTTTGAGGTTGATCTTTTCCTGCAGATGTTTAGTTACCAGTCTATGTAACAACCTCAGGGCATAGGAGAGAGAAGTTTGCCGGTTGTTTATATATAGGAGCTTGTCTTGCCAGTCTTGTTTGGGGTATGTTTTTTCTCCTTGATTGTTCCTTGATTAAGATATTGTTTTTTTTCCTCTCTAATTGTTTATCTGGTGCCGTGTCTTACTTGTCTGAGTGCTCTGGCTTTGCTTAAGACACTTTAGAGCAGGAGTGTCAAACTCACGTCATCATGTGACGTATCTGGCCCTCGGGCTGGGAGTTCGACAGCCCTGTTTTAGAGTGATTTGTGCACTACAGAAATTGCAGTGATAAATTTGTGGTGTATGGGGGAAGTTGTCCTTTTTCATAGATTGTAACGGTTATGTTATGCAACTCCAAAGATCCAGTAATCTTACCCCCGCCCTCAAAAAAACATAGACCATCTAACACAGTGGTGGCTAACCTATGGCATGCATGCCAGAGGTGTCACACAGAGCCCTCTCTGTGGACACGCGCAACGTCACCCCAGCTCAGCGCCACCGTGTTTCACCGTGGTGTTTCTCTCCATCATTTGCAGGAAAATTTCTGCAAACGATGAAACAGAAGCTCACGAAAGAAAAAAATCTCACCTCTTGAAGGTGTTGCTGGGGTTAGGATGCCCCGTCTCCCACCAGCCAGCTGATCTTCGAGGTTCTGCCATGCATGCACAGGTGCCAGAGGTGGCATTCAGCAGGTTCTGACCAGTTCTGGAGAACCGGTAGCGGAAATTTTGAGTAGTTCTCAGAACCAGCAAATACCACCTCTGACTGGCCCCGCCAACTCCATCTATTCTCTGCCTCCCGCGTCCCAGCTGATCAGCTGGGTCTTCTTTTGTTTTGCCCTGCACAGGAAAACGGAGCTGGAAAGCAGGTTAGTGGGGTGGGGAGGGAATGGGATTTTGCAGTATCCTTCCCCTGTCATGACCACCAAGCCACACCACACCCACCAAGCCACATCCACAGAACCGATAGTAAAAAAAAATTAATCCCACCACTAATGGGTGCACGCATGTGCATGCACACCCATGCCCCTTGCAGTTTGGGCATGCATGTGCACACTTTGGACACTCAGTAACTAAAAGGTTCTCCATCAGTGACCTATCACATACATTGCAAAGACATTAAAAACTACTGTATAGGATAGAGAAACAGAAAATCGACGTATATAATATAAACATATAGGTAGTCCTTGCTTACAGTTCATTTAGTGATGTTTGAGGTTACAATGGCACTGGGGAAAAAAATGACACAACCATTTTTCACACTTATGACCATTGCAGCATCCCCATGGTCATGTGATCAAAAATTGGACACTTGGCAACTGATTCATATTTATGACGGTTGCAGTGTCCCGGTGGTCATGTGATCACCTTTTGCAGCCTTCTGACAATCAAAGTCATTGGGGAAGCCATATTCACTTAACAACTGTGTTACTAGTTTAACAACTGCAGTGATTTCACTTAACAACCATGGCAAGAAAGGTTATCAAATGAGGCAAAGTTCACTTAACAACTGTCTCAACTTAGCATCAGAAATTTTGGACCGAAATGTCATCGTAAGTCGAGGACTGCCTATATGACTGTCGAGTGACAGTTGCAAGACGTGATGAACATTTCTTAAATCTCAACTCATGAAGGATCCCAACTAAATCTCTGCAAATATAGCCACAATTAAACCACTGACATTTTAGGTCAAGCCAATTCCAATACTCATGGCAGCGCGGCATTCTGACAATACACTTCAACAGACAGATAGACGTAAATATTGTATTTAGGGTGGGGGTCACCTTTACTCAGGCACCTTCACTCAATATTATCTCCTGGTCTGGACAGGATCATTTGTTTAACAAATGTTCGAAGTTGTGATGCTGCTGAATAAAGTGACTTATGGCTGGTCCTCAGATATATGATTCTTGCAAATAACATGATCAAAATGTTAGCGTTGACAACATACATGTATTGACAATGGTTGCAGCATTCCAGGTGGCCATTTGTGCTTTTTCCAGAGAGTTTCTAATAAGCAAAGTCATTGAAGGATGCTGGGTGTTATGAACTAACATAAACGTATTTAATAAAGCTTGACAGCCTTGCTAGAAAAGCAGGCTCGTAATCCTGCACTTTTGATTGGCCCGTGAATAGCGAGCTGAGATTGGTCCTTACGGAGCAACCTGATTGGCTATTAGCAGAACGTATCTCATTGGGTACAATTTAAATGTTTTAACGTAAGTCATTGGTTAATGGGACAGCAGCCAGACCTATAAAAGAGCTGCTGCTGCCCAGGGTTTTGGCTCTGTTCCTGATCGTTAATAAAGAGTTGAAGTTCACCGTTCACTGCCTCGTCTCCGTTCCTTGCGCCCATGCCCAGAATATAACACTGGGTTCACTTCATGGCCATGTGATTTGCTTAAGGACCATGGCAAAAATGTCATAAAATCAAGTGCAACTCACCTAATGATGAAATCACTTAGTAATGGAAGTTCTGTTCCCATTTGTGACCATAAGTGGAGGACAACTTATAACAATGAATGCAAAAATGAATATATGCCATTGCTATTCTACCAAGCAAACATTTAAATAGATTACAATGTATAAAAAAAATTAATGTGAAAATTATGTATTCATTTTTAGACTCAAATGCTTTTCTGTTTTTGTCAGGCATATATCAGTCAGTTTTATGAGCAGAAAGCTGATTCAAGGCAGCGAGGATGGAAGATAAATAATTTATCCTTTGTGGATAAAATCAAACAAATGCAAGACTTTTTTAGATTGAATGTAACAGGAAAGGTTGATGCTGAGACCCTAGAAGTCATGCAGCAGCCAAGATGTGGTATCCCTGATATTGGACAGTATGTCCTGGCTCTTCCTGGATGGAGAAAAATGAAGCTTACATACAGGTAAAACATAATCTGATGATAGATCAAATGAACGAGGTGACTCCTAGAACAGGAGTCTCCAACTTTGGCCACTTTAAGCCTGGAGGACTTCAACTGTGCTGGCTGGGGAATTCTGGGGGTTGATTCTGGGAGTTGAAATCCTCCAGGCTTAAAGTAGCCAAGGTTGGAGACCCCTGATCTAGAAGGTCTAAAACAAGACACCATTTAAGGCATGAACAAATTCCTGTAATTGCAGAAATACCAGGTGGGAAAATAGCATACTTACTATGCTGTAACTGTTTAACTAACATCTTTTCTCAGTTTGTTTCAGTGAATGATTTAGTCTTTCCTTTTTTGCTACAAAGCTGTGAATTAGATAAGATACACAGCAAAAAGAAAACAAAATAAATTTACTTTATCCCAAGAAAAGAGAAAAGAAATTCTTTGCGATATCCCCTGAATCTAAGTCAACACGCCTCAGATAAGAATAATATAGTACCTCCTTAGTTATATACAGAATAGATCTTAAATAATAGCAATTTCGTCATAAGCTCAGCACTTACAAGTTGAAAAATACTGAAAATTAATTGTCACTCTTAGAACTTCATTTTAAACTGGAAAAACTAAACTTGAATACTTACAGTATCGATGTACAATTTAGGACTTTTGATTGCATTTCTTCTCGTGAAAGTTTGGGAGAACTCTAAAGTTCCCTATAAATAGTATTTTAAATATGAGAGAAAGGAGAAATTATTAATTATATTATATTAATTCATGTAATTTGATTTGATTTAATAATTTAATTGAAATGAAATATAAGGGAAGTCCCAAAGGTGCTTTTTCAAAAAAGGTGCAAAAAGGTGCTTTTTCTTCCTTGAAGAGGTATCGCTTCCCATCCAAAAAGCTTCTTCAGTTCTGACTGAATGGTGGAGGATGAAAGGGTTTATATTCCTTGCAGTCATCTGGTTGTTAGCACTCTTTCTGAGAGTCATTGAGGCCACTTCAGAGGTGGTATTTAGCCGATTCGGACCGGTTCTGGCTTACCAGTAGTGAAAATTTTGAGTAATTAGGAGAACTGGCAAATACCACCTTTGGCTGGCCCCACCCACCCCCCCCCGCCCTTTCCTATCCTATATTCCCTTGTTTTTTAGCTCAGCTGATTCATGTGGCAGAGTGGGTTGCCGTGCCTCAGCTGAGCTAAAAAAAACAGTTCACCCCACTAGGGCTGACACAGAGGGCGATTTTTGAGTGTTGCACGTGCACAAGCAAAGTGCTTTCTCATAGAGCCGGTAGGAAAAAAATTAGAATCGCACACTGGACCACTTGGAGGGTCACCTGAATAGTGCAAATCGGTGTGGAACCTTCTTCAAACTGCTGAAAGGACTGTATTGTAGCCTGCAGACATTGGACACTGCTATTTTGCAAAAAAACGTTCACTGGAAGGAAATCCCTTAGGTAGGGGGAAGGAGGAAGGGGAAATTGTTTTGCTCACACCTCAACAAAAAATAAAAGTCATATGAATAACTCTATCCAGGAACTGGTCAACATGAATTGGAAAGATTTTAATCATTTGTCTCAATCTACTTGGATCTGTTGTTTTTTTATTTGTATGTTCATTTTTCAGCCCAAATTGTTAATTGCCATAATAGTGCAAGTGATTTTTTCAATTTGTTTTTTAATCTCACTTTTATTATTGTTATGAATAACTCAAGGCAGCAACCATACCTAATGCTTGTTTCGCCTCCTATTTTCGCCCCCTGAGGTGAATTAGGCTGAGAGAGAATGCCTTAGGGAGTGCTTTAACCATTAGACCAAACTGTTTTAGTGAAAAAAAATGCTCTGCATTTTAATTTTCTTAGAATTGCGAATTACACTCCCGACATGAGGAGAGCTGATGTGGATGCCTCCATCAAGAAGGCTTTTGAAGTTTGGAGTAAAGTGACTCCTTTGGCTTTTGTCAGGATTCACAGAGGGAGAGCAGACATCGTGATTGAGTTTGCAACAAGAGGTAGAACATTAAACCCTACAGCAGCTTTGAGTTTCTTTAAGCTCTTTTTTATGAAGTGAGAGTACAGCAATCTCGTACCATGTTGTCTTTCAGTGCATGGCCGCTGTCCACGGCAATTTGATGGACCCCTAGGTGTCCTCGGGCACGCTTTCCCTCCTGGTCATTACTTCCGTGGAAATGTCCATTTTGATGAGGATGAAACTTGGGTAGCCAATTTGTATGGTAAGTGGTAATAAACCTTTCAGTTTTGAAGCGCAAGAGCTATTTTCACGGTAGCTGTAAATCCTCCAAGGAGGACAATCCAGAATAATAGTAAAGTCATTGAAATGAGTGTCATTGCATTGTTGTGCATGATTATCAGAGGTGGTATTCAGCAGGTTCTGGCCAGTTCTGGAGAACCAGTATCAGAAATTTTGAGTAGTTTGGAGAACCAGCAAATACCACCTCAGACTGCCCTTCCATCTCTGCCTCCCGAGTCCCAGCTGATCGTCTGGGTCTTCTTTTGAGAAGAATGGAGCAGGAAAGCAGGTTAGTGTGGTGGGGAGGGAATGGGGATTTTGCAGTATCCTTCCCCTGCCACGCCCACCAAGCCACGCCCACCAAGCTACACCATGCCCACCAAGCCATGCCCACAGAACTGTTAATAAAAAAATGTTGAATCCCACCACTGATGATTATCTGAGTGGAATTCCACTGAACCAAGCATGGAACTTTCAATTAGAGGCAGTTCTTGTGTTATGACCATGATTGAGCTCACAATTATTGTTGTAAGACATGATGGTCATAAAATGAGTCACCATGTGACTGGACTCAATTTTATCATCCTTTTTCAGGTGGCTGTTAAGAGAATGTGGTGAGAAAAATGTGGTAGTCATTAAACAAGCACCATGCTCCTTACATATCTTTAGCCAACCTATTGTTCACTATGAAAAAGTAAATGCTAGTTGTTGTAATGTTGTAAATTGTAATGTTGTGAATTGTGATCACAGGGCACTCCAAACAGCTTTGTGTAATTGTGGGCTGGTTGCTGAACATCCAAAATGCAGTCACAGGATTGCAGGAGGGGGTGGAAATCAGAACTTTGAAACCAGGTCGTAACTCCCATTTTTGGGGTCCATCATAACTCGAATGCTCAGCAACTGGTCATAAATTGAAGGCTACCTGTATGGAAACTCAGTTGTTGTGCATGATTATCTGAGTTGAGTTCCACTGAACCAAGCACGGAACTTTCAATTAGAGGCAGTTCTTCTGTTACGACTGTAATTGGGCTCACAATTATTGTTGTAAGTTTCATTTTTGGGGTCCATTATAACTCGAATGGTTGCTAAGCAACTGATCATAAGTTGAAGACTACCTGTATGTAAACTCACCTATTATGGGATGATAACCTTGAAGCAAACGTTTTCATCCAGGAGATTTCTGAGACAAGGGCAGGTTTTACAGCTAACCAAGATAAATAAGTAAGTGTGAATTCCATCAGAAGAAAACAGGAGGGGGGAATCTTACCTCTACTTATTCAGATTACTTTATGGCTTGCTCCTATCGCTCACTCGGAACAAGAATTACCTGAAAGTGCCATCATTTCTTCATTTATTTACAGAGCAAAGAAGATCTAGAAATTACCCTGTTGTTCCAGCAGAAGATGTCAGGACTCCTGTTTTGAAAAAAGTCCCAAAGCTGAAAACTTCTGCTGTTCCTCTCCCTTACTCCGCCATTAGTAAGTTTAAAGATTCTCCCTTTTTAGTGGTGGGAATTCTTCCTTGTAGAAATGGGGGGGATATAATGACATTTTATCAGTAGTTATGACCGTGGGAACAGTCTAGATTAATGTCACTTATTTTTATATATAATTATACATCATTTATGGGAGAGAGGTTCTTCTTGCTTTTACATAAATAGATAGTAGATGTTTGGATAGGGCATTAGTCTCTGTTGGCCACCAATATAGTTCTCAGCTTCAGCTGGAGCTCCCATTAAACTGGATGGAGCCAGGAAACTGCTGATGGAGCTTCATCAGCCAGAAGTAACATATGGAAAAATGGATGTTCTGTGGGCAAAGAAGGAGTAAGGTGTGGACAGCTTTGAAAAGACTAGATTCTGCCCTCCCCGAGCCTCTGTGCACACCCTGAACTTACCTGCATCCAAAACAGGCTATGTGGGGACTCCTGGGAGGGGTGGGGTGGGCGTGGCCAGCCAGGAGTGGGATTTGGGGTTCTCTGAACTGTACTGAATCTTAGCTAAAGGTTCTCCCAAATCCCTGTGAACCCCCAGCAGCCCACCCTTGTGTCAAACTCCCAGCCCATGGGCCAGAGGCGTCACGCGCTGGCCACGCCCATGCCTGGTTTAGTGAAGAGGGAAAAAGTCCCAATATGTTGTGGTTAGCCGGCAGCAAGTGCGGACAGCTGAGGAGAGCGAAGACTCAGATGAGGAGCCAGGGCCATTAGGGTCCTGCCAAACTGCTGCTTTCAGAGATTGTGGGGGCTGGCAGCAGTGATGAGGAGCATCCCGAGGAGCCTGTGCCAAGTGTGCATGGGCACAAGATTGCTCGTAGGAAAGAGCAATTACAACAGCACAGGCGATTTGGGAGTAAGGCTGCAAGGTAATGGCCCCTCCTTCAAGAAGATAAAAGCCAGCTGTGAAATGAACGTACTTTGCAGAAGGCAAAGACGTTTTGAAACTCCAGCCTCATGGACATGTCAGTATCGCGAGTTTCTATTTAAAGATTCTTGTATTGCAAATTATTTCTTGTCTGTTATCTTTTGGCTGTCTCACACAGTTTGGCAAGGCTTGTGCTTATCACAGCTAATTATTTTGCAGAAGCATTAAAAGGTTTCTGTTCCTTTTGGATTGTGTTTGATTTGTTGGAAAAGGGCATGGGTCAGAACACAATATGTCATGTGACACTGCCGTGATGATGTGAGTTTGATACACCCGTACTAGACCAAATTGGTTCTCTTTAAAATAGGGAAATGTTCCTTATACAAATAAAACATTGTTCTGGTATGTAATTCCTTGTGACGTTCTACTGTATATTATACGCATTTGTTACAAATGTCTCATTTTCTCCACGTAAGCCTCACATTGAACAATCATATGTACATTTCCTTGAGACTGAATCCCAGTGAACTGAGTAGAACTTCATGTATGCATCTACAATCCATGTATAACCGTGTTTTATTGACTTATTTATTATTATTTATTTATTTAGAATTCAACTTATTCCTTGTTGCTGCACATGAGATTGGGCATGTACTTGGCCTCGCACATTCTAATGATCCAAGAGCACTGATGTTCCCCAATTATAAACCCATTGACCCTGATGATTCTCCACTTTCTGAAGATGATATTAATGCCATCCAGGCCATCTATGGTAAGAAAGCATGTCTGCAGAGTTCATTCAAAAAATATGATTCAGTTTTTAACCTAACTTCCTTTAATCTGTTTAAAAACATGTCCAAGATTTTTCCAGGACCTTTAGTCGGAATAATAGAGTAACGGAGTTGTAAGGGATCTTAGAGGTCTTCTAGTTCAGTTCAGGCAGGAAAGCCTATACCTGTGATGGCGAACCTATGGCACACATGCCACAGGTGGCATGCAGAGCCATTTGTGCTGGCCCGAGAGCCGCAGGCAAACTTACCTCACTGCGCATGCACGCGCCTCACAACTTTTTCTCTTTGAGGCTGGTTGATTGTTTCCTTTATTGGTTCATCATGGTTTAGTTCAATATGAGAACATACCTAGTATGTCAGCAAGATCTACCTGGTAGGTTTCAAGCCCGAAATTGACATATATGTAGCAGTGGTGGGATTCAATTTTTTTTACTACTGGTTCTGTGGGCGTGGCTTGGTGAGCGTGGGAGGGGAAGGATACTGTAAGATCTACAGTCAGAGGTCGTATTTGCTGGTTCTCTGAACTGCTCAAAATTTCTGCTACCGGTTCTCCAGAACTGGTCAGAACCTGCTGAATACCATCTCTGATATGCAGCCATTTTATTTAGCTCTATATTCTCATCTTACGTTCCTTTTCTTTCTTTCTCTTTGCTGGTATAAGGTGGGAAGGTTTCAGACTCACCACATTCTTATGGTGGGAGGAGTGGTTAGATAGTGAGGATTGTTTTGGCTAGGTGACTTTCCTTTCCGTGGGAACAGAAGCTGTCCCTGCCAAGACCTGGAGGTGGAGATTGAAGACATTAGGCAACGTTGATTTAATTCTATTGGGGAATGTTACTTTTCTGGGTTGCTTCTAACTTACAATATTATGTGGTGTAATTCCGGGTTGTGTCAGATCCTGAATTACAACAGACTTTGCCAATGCGATGCTTACCTAAATAAAAGAAATTTGTTTTGGGAGGTGGATTTTGCTCATTTCTTTATTTGAATGAGTTTCATCACTTGGAAACCTGACGGTAGGATTATTGGGATAATACAGAAGAATTGCAAGCAATAATTCAGTTTTAAAGTAGCCATACAAAGCAAGCCCATAATGATGTTATGTGCATTATGAAAGCAATCTGTAAATGATACAATTATTTAATTAAATAAAACTTACACATATTGCATAGCTCACTTCATTTGTCCACAATAGACAAATTTTCCACTCTGAGAACAAGTGTTCTGATTAATCATATTCCATCTGATTATTTTAGGACCATCACAAAACCCTTCAAATGAACCAGTGAAGCCAACATTACCAAAAGCTTGTGATCCTAAGCTAAATTTTGATGCCATCACTACCTTCCGAAGAGAAGTGATATTTTTTAAGGGAAGGTAAACAGGATTTGCTTTCTATAAAAGGAGAAAGGCAGAACAGCTGCGTAGTACATATATGACATGTTGAGTAGCTTGACATTGAAAATAAAATATTTTCGACTCTCTACCCCCACCTTGTGTTCATTGTTGTCCAAAAATTGCTTTTTCTTTTTGGTTTTTCCATTTAGTTTCTCATCTAAGAAGTTTCTTCAGTTTTGAAGTGAAGAAGCTTGGGGTGAGAAGTGAAATGTCTTTAAGGAAAAATTTTAAAAGTCCAGTTACCTCTGGGAAAAGCACCTTTGGGAAAATCATGACCTGGATCTCCATAGACATTTTGCCTCGTCATACTTTTCTGACTCCATTGCAAAAAGTTGGCAATTTTGATCCATTAAAACTTAACTGTAAATATACATACTTTGTGATTCATTTACTCACGATAAACCTTAGAATAGCACCAGGATTATTTTCCTTCAATTTTGGGGGGATTAGAATTTAGAGGAAGCCAATCAAGATAGGACTTGTGTCAAATAATACATGGCTGAACCATTAGATTGCCAAACTACAGGGTTCTAGCTCAAAAGGATTCTTATTTTCTTAGAACTTGGAGCCTGAAATCTTATTAGGATGAATCTCAGGAAAATATAGTGGGCCTCTGAGTAAATATAGAAGCCATTGTCCCACAGATGCTTTTTCAAGAAGCAACTGGACTTTCTGGTTTTTCTTTGAAGATGTTTCACTTCTCATCCAAGAAGGTTCCCAGTTCTGACAGGATGGTATGGAATGGAAGGGTTTATATTCTTTGCATGGGAGCACAATGCTCAGCAGTTAAAGACACCGAGCTTATTGGCTGGAGAGCTGACAGTCCGGGTTTGAGACCTGAGTATTGCTCTGAATGGATGCTGGAGAATGGAAGGATCCACCATCCAGTCAGAGCTGAAGAAGCTTCTTGGACGAGAAGTGAAACTTCTTCAAAGACCAAAAAGTCCAGTTGCCTCTTGAAAAAGCACTTTTGGGACAACAATGAAGCTGGATGACCGAGAAGCTCCATAGACATTGCACCAAAAATGTTCTTATGTTCAGCTTTTGCCCCTAATTGTATCTTTATGACTATGTTAGACAGATTTCTATGTTTTTCTAGTAAATTGATCTGCAATAGAACCAGTTGTCTGTTTAAATTCACAAAATAATTATTTTTAGTAATAGGAAATGCACCATCCCATTCATTGCAGGCACATCTGGAGAGTGTATCCAACTAGGTCTGAAGTGGACATGGAACCAATTTCTACTTTGTCGCCTCTCCTGCCATCTGGAATCCAGGCAGCTTATGAAAATATGAACGATCAGGTTTTTTCCTTTAAAGGTAAGACATTAAGGCAAGGGTCTTCAAATTTGGCAAGTTTAAAACTTGTGGACTTCAACTCCCAGAATTCCTGAGCTAACATGACTGGAGCAGGGATTCTGGGAGTTGAAGTCCACAAGTCCTAAAGCTGTCAAGTTTGAAGACCCCTGCATTAAGGCTTCTATTATTTGAATTAGAAGTTTAGCAATGAGCAACCTGCTGTACAAGAGTGATATCTATATATGGCTCCTGGACTAATTTCAAAAGCTCTCTACAAACATTCAGTTTGGGTCTCTGTCAACCAGCTGTTGGAAAAGAGGAAACAAGATGTAAATAGAAAAAGAAAAGAAAAATAGAAAAATAGTGGGGGAAAAGGAGGAGGGATTAGGCAAAAGCAGAGATGGCACTGAATTTTCAAAGCTAATAGCCAAGTTTGTGAGGAAGGAGCAAAAATCTGGATGATGGTGAGCATGGTATCATGATGTAAGTCCTCGCTCCTCAATGTCCACTATCTTACCAAGTTTGATACACAACTTTCCTGTGGAAGCCTTACCAACAGCTCTTGAAAGGTCTGTGTTCTCTAGGTCTGCATTCTCCTTTTAAAGCCAGGTGATCAAGAACAGCAGCCAAAATCTACCAGCAAAAGAAAGAGAGGAAAGATGTTTAAATATAGCCCCCCCAAGCTCCGTTTTCACTGACAGATGGCTTGCAGTAGGCTGTCGCAGCCAAAAACAGAGCTCAGGAGCCCATTTTCACTGGTAGAGCACTTGGGCTGCCAAAGGCACCCCCCCAACACAAGTGACATTGAGCTGGCCATGCCAACCCTGTTGTGGTTCACTGGCAGCAGGTACAGACGGCTGAGGTCTCAGAGAGTGAGGACTCAGATGAGGGGCCTGCGTGTGTTGCAGGGATGGGGCCAGGACTATCAGGGAGTGGAATGCTGCCTTCGGAGATTGTGGAGGCTGGCAGCAGTGATGAAGAGGCCCCCGAGGAGCCTGTGCCTAGTGCGCATGCGCGCAGGGCTGCTCGAAGGAAAGAGCAGCTGCAGCAGCACGGGCGACTCGGAAGTAAGGCTGCAAGGTAATGGCCCCTCCTTTAAGAGATAAAAGCCAGCTGAGAAACCGGAGTTCTTTGCAGGACGCAAAGAAGTTTTTGCACTCAAGCCTTGGGGATGTTCGGACTCTCTTAGTTTGTGTTTGGAAACTCTTTGTGTTTGAAATACTTCTTGGCAACTTTATCTAGTGTTCTTAGCAGCCTTGCCCAACCTTGGCAAGGCTTGTGCTTATCGGAGACAATTAGTTTGAAACAGCCTTTTAACCAGGAAGGAACGGAATTCGTAAAGAATCATTAAAAGGTTTTGCTGTTACCGCCTTTTCGTGTTTGTTTCCTTTGAACAAGGTTTGGGTCAGAACAAACCCTGGCCACACCCACCCTGGCCCCCAGAGGTAAACACAACCCTGATACAGCCCTCAATGAAATCGAGTTTGACACCCCTGCTGTCAATGAAGAAGGATGTTTGCTTTCGATGAAAGACTCTTGTGTGGTACTCACATCGGGTTTTGCTTTAAGAAAAAGATTGGGAACTGCCCAGCATTGGTTAAAAGATGAGTGGCTATATAAGTGTTTTAAATAAAATAAATGAAGTTGAAAAAAATAAAGAGCCTTGCATTTCAGATGGGCAGCCATCACTCATTTAAACTAATTAAATGGATACATACATACATACATACATACATACATACATACATACATACATACA